GAAATATTTATGTATTATGTAAAATGAATCCTTAAATTGGTATATAATATTCCGTGGCTGTACTACACTTTCAGGAGGGGGATATTGTAAATGTTTAACCTTTCCATATTTTTAGTTTTCAGCATAGATAGGGGATTGCTTAGCTGTCAGCTGCATACATATTCCAGAACATTATTTGGGAACTGAAACCACCCATGTGGGGCTGTTGTCTGGATGGCTGTGCTTTTCTGTAAAGGGTTGTTTTCTCCAAACACAAGTAACACATAGATTCTAAAGCAGTTGAAATTGTGTTTCTGAAGACAAGGTAACATCTTCAAACATGCCTTGTGAAGAATTGGCTGGGATTTAACCAGAGATGAAGAAAAGCTTTCAATGTTAATGAGGCCTCAGGAGCAGTCACAGAAAGGGCTTTCCCTAGTTCTGCAGCCTGGAACTCAAACGGGATGGAAACAAGTGAATTTGGCATTAATATGGATGTGAAAGCTATGCAGGTTTTGAAGTTAGCAGTATGATGGAGAATGCTGCCAGAAAGCAATCCAAGAAGATGGCATGATGGATGGCCGGAGACAGAATGTTTTTGTATGTGGTAAGAGCCCTCTTGCTGTACAGCTTGGTAGGGTTCAGATATTTGTTTTTTTTGAGAAAGTTACTTTAAGTGAAGAATCACAAAATGATTCATGAATGCATGGTATATTTTATTTTAACTTGAACATATATACTTATTAAATGATATTTTGAGAACAGGTATAGAATTTCCCCCTGAGAATAGTTTCTTCCTCCTTCAATAAAACATATTCATAATTAATTACAGATTCCATTTTTCATTCCTTTGAAAGGAACCTAAAGATTTGTGGATGCAGAATTGTAAATGTGAGTCTATTTGTTTTTGAGATAGCTCATCTTTTCCAGCTCTCCTTCCTACTTTAGCTTTTATGAGAACAATTGATTTTCACTCCTATGAAATGTTGAAGCAATTTAATTATAACAACGTGTATGTGGACTTAATTAGGTTGGGTGGCATTGAAACATAAAGACACTCTCCTGTGATGGGAGCTGATGTGCTCCTGTCATTCTGCAGAGTGTCTGTAGCCTTGAGGATTCCTTGGGCCATAGACCTTGTGTCTGTAGGCTTCAAAGAATGGTATAACTTTGATTAATCTGGGTAGTTAATAATGCACTGCTCTGGACTTGACAGTATATAATAAGAAAAGGATTGATCGAATGAGAAGTGGCTAGAATTGGAGGATAATAAAGATTATTCTAGAGTGGGAGGGAAACTGTCTTCTGCTATAGAAGGATCAAGAAAAGAGTTGGAAGGTCATTGAGATGGCTCAGTAGGTAAAGGTGCTTACAGACAAGCCTTGTGACATTGGAACCTACCTACACTTGGGTGATAAGGAACAAGATCGAACACAGGATAGGTTATTAACTGGCAGTTTATTAAGAAGGTATACTCACACAGGCGCTCTGAGCCACCAAGATCCCAGATGCCTCCAAGACCTGGCCTGAACCCGGAGAGAGATCCCAGATGCCTCCAAGACCTGGCGCTTCCTGTCCTCTCTCTTTATCCTACCCCTCCACGTACCTGTGACCCCGCCCAAATAAGTAAATGCAAAAAGAAAAAATGGAAGACCTAAGGAAAAAAAGGTTGTCATATCATTAGAATGAGATTTTGTTGACTTTGGAGAAAATGCCTTTGTAGGCAGAGAGAGGAAGTCTGGTACCTGAGTGGCTGAGGAAGCCACTTTCTCTGTAGTTAAGGTGTGATGACATCTGGGACCTCTACTTTGAACCTTAGCTTGCTATAAAGTTGTATGTCAGTTCCTCTTCCGAAATGGCAAATGTTTCTAGTTATATGCTAAGATCTTGGAGATTACTGCTTATAGTGATTGGTGTTGAGGGGATGTGTCTTACTTGCAACTCATGGGATGCACAAATCCCTACGATAGCTATGAAGGTGGCCTGGCATGCTTTGTAGATGACATCATGTCACAGTGCTGAAGGACCAAACATCCTTGTTAGAGAAGAATAAAGTGCAATGCCATTGATTTCATTTTCACAGTAGCTTTCAGTTGGGAGTGATCTTGTCTCCCCAGGTGACATTTAGTAAAGTCTGAAGGCATTTGGCTTGTCACAGCTGGAGGGATCTCTGGCACCTAGTAAGTAGAGGCCAAAATGTCACTCAACATTCCATCAGTGCTCAGGATAGCCAAGTGACTATCAATAATTTTCCCCAAACATCTAGCCCAGATTGAGAAGCCCCAAGTTCTTTGGTCACATTAAGGAGTTTACTCCCTTTTGGTTCTGAATGCTGGAAAGGGGCTAGCAAAGCCATACCATTCTGGAGGGCTTTCGGGGTACTGGTTTGAACTGTGTGCTGAATCTCTAGTGAGTGGTGCCAACAACCTGAGCTGCTGGCAGCTCCTGATCCTGCTAAGCAGGGTTCCTGCCCCTCCGGTGCATTGTTTCCCAGTCTTGAAATGTTAATGAGATTGAAGACAGGTTTTACATTGTGAGAATTGGATGATGGACAGATTGGTAACCAGGGCAAAGTATTTTTGTTTTGAGCCATTCCTCTGAGTGCTTTTTGGTGTAAAATATTTTTTATGTGGAGAGCTGATTTTTGAGGGCCTTAGTAACAGCGCATCTATTTTGCTGAACTTCCATTTTGGGCTCAAGAAGGCAGGTGTGTAATTATCGTCATCACTGACAGGTAGCAGAGTGCCCTCTTCTTGCCTGATACTGTGCAGAAGGCCTAAAAAGGACACTGAGAGTCCTGTATTGAGTTTGAGGTAAGGCTTTGGTTAGCATGTTTGTTAGGAGGTAGAGCCCCAGGGAGTAATGGTACTTTGGACAAATTAATAAGTGTTTGAGGAAGCACAAAAGATGTAAGCTGTTTGCTTAGAAATGTTTGTCCTAAGTTTGTATGTAACTATCATTAGTGGGATCATATTTAATGGCTTGCACCTGTGACTTACTTAGCTTATAAGAAGAGGGCTTGATTTAAAAAAATGTATTTATTTCCTACAACAATAATCTAAAGGAGCGGACCTACTGTGTATGGTGACCTCATGATTCTTGGCACCCATCTTTCTTTCTGTATTCATCTTATGTGTGGCAGCTTCTAACTATAGACAACAGCATCTTCTTTGGGTCTGAAGCTGTGTCTTTGGTAGTTTTTAGAACTGGACCTGCTTTAAATTTTATATCCCATACCAAGAGGTCTTCAAAGCTAAATCTATTATTAAGGAGGGAAGGAAGGACAAGCAAAAATTGAGAGAAGAGAGCCAAGAACCAAAGACTTTTACAGCCCCAGATAGAATTTAGAACCATCTTCTGTGGGTGGAATAGTTTGTAGAACAGAACAGTAAGACAATTGTTTTAAGTGCAAAAATTTTGAACTGTGATCTATTTCTGTGACCTTGGAGCCCATTTAAGGTTTACAAACTGTTTTTACCCCAGTGCAGTGGTTGGTGCTTTAGAAAGTACAAACTTCATGAAAGTACTGTTGATTCAGTTCTCCAGTTGTCAGCCCTTAGAAGCAACATGCTGAGGATGCCCCTCCAGAGTGTTGTAAACAAATGACGAGGAGAGGCCAATCACTAGACATCAGGGTCTCCTTGACTCAGGCCAGAAGCCCTGCTTTGAAAATCAGGAAGAGAAAATATGCAGGGCTAGTGGGTTGTTGGGAAGTGGGTCTGTTTGCCAGGTCTTACCTCATCATGATGTAGAGTGCAAGAGACCTTTTGTACTTTTTCCAGATTTCATCAGCCACTGAGCTGCAGCCTGCCAGGGGTTAATTTCGGCCCCTGGTGCCTCTGGCTTACATGCACATGACCATGACTTTACTGACTGAGTTGGTTTTCAAGGTAGACATTCGTTTATTGTTTGTGTGTGTACGTTTATCCTTGTGCTCCTGTTCCCAATGGGGAGATAGGGAAATGCATCCCAGTGATTCTTACCTAGTTCCACTTGACTTAGCACTAACCTGGAAGCCATGCATTGCTTTCTGAGGACGTTTAATGCACTGCTTCCAGTCAAGGGTGACAATCTTAGAGCAGAAACAAAGTCAGTGACGGACTGTGCTTGCTATGATAGAATTAACTCAGTCATTTAAAAGTTTTAATGGGAGAGAAAATTTCAATCTCCTTAATTTTGTGTTCATAAATGTTCCATATCTACATATTGTATGAAGTTCAAGTTAATTTTATAATTCTTTGTAACTAAAATTGCCTAGAATGAATACTGATGGTCTAAACAGTTACCTTTAGAGTTAAGTTGATCATCAGACAAAGAATCTAAACTAGCAAGACAATAGCAAGATTATCTTGTGTTTAGCAAGCCGGAATAGAAAAATTCCATAGATTTATCTTTGGGAATTATGTTAAAACCTAGCATTTTGAGGTTTCTTTGGGGAGTGAGTTCCTTTTAGGGGTAGAGCCTAAGATTTTTCTTTGGGGTATACTGACATTTTGAGTTTTACAAGAACTTGATTTTACATTTTTATTTTTTAAGGGTGTGTGTTTGTGTGTGTGTGTGTGTGTGTGTGTGTGTGTGTGTGTGTGTGTGTGTGTGTGTGTGTGCATACTTGTCTGTGCCTTCATGTGGAAGCTGGAAGAGGGCCTTGGTGGCACATCACTTTCTACTTATCCCTTTGAAGGTCTTTCCCTAAATCTAGGCTTTACATTTTTCTTAGTAGGCTGGAAGCCAGCAAGCCCCAGAGATCCTCCTATCTGTGTCCCACTTGGTGCTGGGGTTACAGGTGTAGTACGATGCTTGGCTTATTGTCTAGGTGCTGGGATCTGAACTCAGTCTTCATGTTTATATAGCAGGTGCTCTTAACTTTGGGGCCATCTCTCTGGCACACATTACTTTTTTTTTAATATTATACCAGTGAATAAGATACACAATACATTTGTTCTTTTATTAATCTGTATACATTATGTATGTGTGTGTTGTGTGTTGTATGTGTGTATATGTTTGGGTATATACATGAAACAATGTTTTCCTCTCTTGCAGAATTAAATGTGAGAGAATCTGATATCAGAGTGTGTGATGAATCATCCTGTAAATATGGAGGTGTCTGCAAAGAAGATGGAGATGGTTTGAAATGTGCGTGCCAATTTCAGGTGAGAAAACCAAAATTAGCTTTTAATTTTTTCTCCCTATTTTATAATAATACTATGTTCTTCAAATAAAAAGCACACAGCACCTTGAGCCCCACAGGAAGTTCAGCTCACAGCCCTAGTTCTTTCTTGCCAGGTGAAGTCCTGTTATTTGCTCTTTCTGTGCTTCATTCCAGAAATTAGACGTCAGACTAACTACACTGGATATGAACATGTGGGGAGAGATGTTAAAGCCATGTCCAAGTGTGAGCTTTGCCACACAGGGAAAGGGCAGGCACTGCAGCAGAGACTCTTAGTGAGCAGGTTGGCACTATTTCCCTTTTCTGTTAGCCTGACTTCCCTCCCTTTTCCCCTGTTGCTTTGCGGCTCTTTAGAGCCAGGATGAAGTAGAGCCTCAGAGATAGCCAGGGTTAGAGATGGGCTGGCAATTAGAGTCTTAACCCAAGAGTTTTAACATTTCCTTTTGGATTTTAGTTGTGCTGTTACTGTGTGAAAAGCAAACAAGTGGAGAGTGTGACTTGCTATTTTTTATTTCATGTGCATTGATGTTTTGCCTGCACGTATGTCTGTGTGAGGGTGTTGAATCCTCTGGAACTGGAGCTATAGACAGTTGTGAGCTGCCATGTGGGTGCTGGAACTTGAACCTAGGTCCCCTGAAAGAGCAACTAGTGCTCTTAACCACTGAGCCACCTCCAGCCCCAAGAGAGTGACTCTTGATTGCTGCTTTTTGGTTAAATTATAATCTAGCTGTGTTTTCTCAGAAGACCCCCCCCCCCCACCATTTAGAATCGGAGACTAGGTATAGAAGGAGCTTGGTTGGTTTTCATTTAGTCTTGTTACAACTAAGCCTGCCATTTTGAATTTTGAGGAGAGGAAAGCCTTCAGAAAGCAGGCATGTGGCCTAGTAGAGTTAGTGTTTCTGGTAACCCAGTGACCTCAGCAACTGTATGTCCTCATTTCCTCACCAGGATTCATCTGAACAAAGAAGGCACACTTCATAGCTGTAAGAAGTAGTAAGAACACAGAGGGCGTACTACAAATCATCACGACGCTTATTCCCATTAAAAGGAGTAGAGAATGGAAATAATGGGGCAGGGTAGCTGTGTGTACTGCTATTGACCACCCAGTCAGGTTCTCAGGGTCAAAGAGACTTTTCATTCACTCACACAGAGCTATATTTCTGTGGGGCAGCTCTACAATAGCCACTTTCTTCCAAGCTTGCTTAGCCTGCTTTGGCTGACTTCACACCCTTGCTGCCCATTGGCCGGGGATATCAGTTCCTTCTGTGCCTGCCTTTCCATGGGGCTCTTTCATTTCCATGGAGCTGGCCTTATATTCTGCTTTCCTTCATTTTTTTGCAAGCCTTTGAGTTTTTAAAGATTATATTAAAAAAGTAGCCTTTTCAGTGTCCTTGAACAGCTAAAAAAAAAAAAAATCTTTCCATGATCTGTCTTAAATCCTTTGGTTCTTAACCTGTGGCAAAACAGGAAGAGAAATATAAGTGAGGGAGTGAGATCTGTAGATGCTTTTCCAGGCTTGCTGTATACTGTGTTTAGGCTGAATGCTGAAGATGTAGGGGCAAACCGCCTAAGGGCTTATAGCATTTTTTTCCCTCCTGCTGAGGAATCCTTCCTTTGACTGCTCTGCTGTCTTCCTATAAGATTATAGATCTCTTCATAAAACCCAAATTATTGGCAGCTTTAAAAACAATGACTTGATATGTATATTAGGCCTATCTCTTGGCTGTGTAAATCTTAACAGTGATAATCAACTCATTTGGAAGATTGTTTATAATTCTGCATGCTTTCAGTGCTAAACTTCTGGGGATGGCTTATGTTCTTTTCACAGAAAGTAGAATTGCATATAACTGCAAATTTTGTTAGTTGGCTAATAAAAGCCATTATCTTGATACTTATATAAACAAAGCCACTTACTATTATATGTGTAGAAAGATTATTAAGAGTCCATCTTTCCCGTAAAACATAGTGTCTCTAACTTTCCCCCAGGCTTTTTTCTTCCTCGTTGTATTTAGAGTTCTGTGGGCTGTCTTCCTGTGTTTGTGTCTGTTTTTAATAGCTTCCACAGTCTCTTACTCTTACTAGACCTTTGTGTTGGAGTTTTCCACAGAAATAGAAACAGCAGGATACATGCACATGAATTTGTGTGAGAGAGTTGGAGGGAGAGACTAGTGAGGAATTAGCCTATTTCATTATAGAGGCTGAGATACCACAACATGAAGGGCTAAACACCTGGGGAAAAAAGTACAGTCACCTCGAAGTACAGTCAGAGGGAAAAGTTTTCCCTCCACCATTTTGTTCTGTTTGGTTTCTCAACTAATTGGATAATGCATATCACCCGGGGGAGGGCAGCCTGCTTTACTTGGTTCACTGACTCCAGTGCTAATTTCATTTATAAATGCCCTCACAGATACATCCAGAAATAACTTCAAATCCGGGCACCCCAGGGTCTAGTCAGTTGCCACATGAAATTAACCATCACAGCTATGCTAGTCTTCCTTTTCCTTGCTGTGACAGATTACCCAAGCAAAACAACTACACGGGGGAAAGTCTATTTTATTTATTTATTTATTTATTTATTTATTTATTTATTTATTTGAAAGTCTTATTTTGGTGTACATTTTCAGAGGTTCTGTCCATTTTGGTGTGGCAGAGTCGAGCAGGTCACATCATGGTGTCCAGGAAATCGAGAGGAGGAACCAGTGCTCGTGGATTTCTTCCTCTCGGTCCTAATCTTCCTCAGGCCCCCAGTCTGTTGGGTGGTACTATGATATTCTGTGTAAGGACACATCCAGACATGTGCTTTACTAAGCGTCTAGGTACCTATCAATCAGTCAAGTTGACAATCAAGGTGAACTCTCCCAGCAGCATTTTCTTATTTTATTGTGAACCAAACAATTCCTGGCACACAGTAGCTGTACAGCAAATGTGTTTCAGAGTTGAATAGTGCTGTATCCTTCAAACAGCTTCAGATAGCTGACAGAATTATCACAGTCTTAAGTAATAGGGAAGGTTTCTTTCCTCATCAAAGGTGGCAGAATAGAGGTTAGACATAGGATCAGTCTGAATGTTGTAACATTGTCTAGATCTCTTCATTTGTTCCTAGGTTTACTGGGGCGGGGTGGGCTTCTGAGAGAGACCCAAGAATGATGAAGGAACAGCACATCTACTTTCCTGTCTCAGGTTCACTCTGAGGTGTGTGCTTGACATGATTGCAGGGATGTTAGGACCCTTGCTCGTCGTCACCAAGTGATTCGTGGGTGAGACTGAATAATTTGTGTAGAGTGTCTACAGTACCTCACTCGGGAGCAAGTGTGACTCCCCTACTTACCAGCTGTGCTCCTATGCAAATACTCAAGACTTTGAAATGATAGAAACAACAGCAATCACAGCTAATATTTACTGAAAATTTACCATGACTGGATATAAAGCCCATAGGTAGCTTTCCCTTATTCAGTCCTCATAACATTATGTGAGAGGATCTATAACAGTTGCCTTTAGACAGATGGGGAACATATGCTGGTTTCACTTGCCTGGCTCTGGCATTGTCATGGGCTTCATTGGTGGTTAGAATATTTAAGTGTAGGGGACATTTAAAGCTGGTGTCCAGTGCTTACTGGGATAGTGTTTTATAAATGTTAAGGATTCCAGTCTTTTCAAACTCAAAGCTCTTTCAATCACCAGTAGCTTATGTTTCATTTTTCTATTACCTTAAAATGAAATTCATAATGTAACCCACATAAACACATGATTAAAGAAGTGAATATGGTGCAAAATTTTAATATAAAAGAAAAATAAAGGTCATTTATGATATGAATATTTCATAATTTACATGCTTTGGAATGATCATGTTAGAAGACAATATAGTACTCAGGCACTTGTATCTCCTTATAATGAAGTTGGATTAAAAATATTCATAAGCAGCTTCATATACAAAGCCCTCCAAATAAAAATTTAATTTTAATAAAAGTTTGTGTAAGATTTTGCTGGTATTGAACATATATTAAAATCAACTTGGTTATAAGATATTTTTTAATAGTTGCTGAAGTTGTGCTAATATGTCATGTTTATATTTAATACACTGAGACCAACTACTTAAAAAAGAAGATAGTAGTAAAAGTAAATGTTGTTGATTGCAGAAAAATTGAGACATACAGGAAATTAAAGATATGATATGAAAATATATTGACATTTTCTCCTAGAATTTATGCATATTTTCTAAATTAGACTGAATGCAATGTGTTTTCTTACTACATTTCATTTTATATTTAAAAATTTGTGTTCAGTTTCATGGATAAATAGCACTTTTTTTTAGAGGGTAAGTTGTGTATGTTGGTACATGCCTATAATCCCTGAACTGAAGGCAGGAGAGAGTTCCTCACTAGCTTGGACTATATAGTAAGTCCTGCTGGTCAGTGGTGGCGCACACCTTTAATCCCAGCACTCAGGAGGCAAAGGCAGGTGGATCTCTGTGAGTTTGAGGCCGGCCTGGTCTACAGAGTGAGTTCCAGGACAGCCAGGGCTACACAGAGAAACCCTGTCTCAAAAAACAAAAAAAACATAGTGAGTCCCTGTCTCAAGAACTCCCATCCCCCAATTCTCATTTTCAGTATACAACCTCAATTGCTAATGAAGGTCAATTACTTTTATGTATTAATTGGCTGTTTATAATATTTCTGTAAAGTTTTTGGCCCATTTTAAAAGAACATTTGCACTATTGTTACTTATTTAAGTAACAATGATAGCTTGTATTTTATTGTGATGCTTTCCCCAGATTTTGAAAATTCACTTATAGTATTTTTAAAAAAGATGTATTTAAAAAAATTAAAATTATGTGTATGCATATGTGTCTCTGTGTGGGTGTGTGCAGGTGCCTATGGAATCCAGAAGGTATTGGTTTGCCTGTAGTTGGAGTTACAGGCAGTTGTGAGCAGTCCAGTATGGGTGCTGGGAGCTGAACTCTGGTCCTCTGCAAGAGCAGAACATGTTCTTTGCAGCTGACTCATTTCTCCAGCCCCCTACCCCAGTCTGTGCTCTTTCTGACATGTAGACCTTCTAAACTTTTTAAAGCATGTATAGCCAGTGTCATTTTTCAAATCTCATCACTGTTTATCTTCATCCTCCTCATTTCTGTTTATCCTTCAGTGCTGTTTGAATTCTACTTTCTTTGAGGAGGTTTCCCTTAAACACCCTAGCTTTTTGTACTGGAGGTCGGTCGGGCATGGTACTTCCTGTCCAATTGATTCCAAATCATATGATTCCAAACACGATTTAGCTTTACAGTTTTTTTTTCCTATTCTAACAAGATTATAATATCTCTGAGAACAGAGATGGTGGTGTATTTCTTTGTGTCTTCCTTCCCTGGGACTTTACTACGAGGTGTACTAAGTAAAGGAATTTTAACGATGAAGTGACATCACCAAAGCAGTTCTTTATAAACACTGTCAAGACTTTCCTCTTAATACTTCTATGGGTTTTCTTAGAAAACAAACAAAGTAGATTGCACAGGAATGTCCAGTTCATAAAGATAATTGGTAGTTATTTTTATTATGAATATGAGAAAAATCTATGAGGCAGAGGCAGGTCCTCTTTGTTAAAAATCAAACACAGGGACAACCTGTGTCAGCAGTGGAACAGTGTCAGAAACCTATGCTTTTGCATTCATGAGTGTGAACTATGCCATTACTATTCACACCTAGTTCTTTTTTTTTTTTTTTTTTTTTTTTTTTTTTTTTGCAGTGCCATACAAATTACATTCCTGTTTGTGGATCAAATGGGGACACTTATCAGAATGAATGTTTTCTCAGGAGGGCTGCTTGTAAGCACCAGAAAGACATAACAGTGGTGGCACGTGGACCTTGCTACTCAGGTATGTATGATGTTAGCCATGGTTCCACCATGTTTTCTAAAAACTTGAGCCAGAAGTGTTTGACTCATACTGCTGCAGGGATTGATGGTGATTGGGGGAGTTTTATCCATATTTTATGTTACTGCTTCTTTTTTTTTAAGAATATCAAATTATTACTATAAATTATCAGGTATCATTCAATAGACAAGGAAACAGAAGTTTGGAGAGTTTATGTACCATAAATATAAATACACAGGTATGATCCAAATGGGGCTGTTGAATGACACAGTACAAAGAGCATAGATTTATGGTCATGCTGAATTATGGTTTTGTGACATACTTCTTGAAGAGACATACATCATAGAATTACCAGAAACACAGTTATTTGTCCTAAAAGCAGACACATGCATTCTCTGTATAAGACTGTTGTAAAGCTGAATTCATAGCTATAAAGTTCAAATGGAGTTTAAACGGCTTCCTTTGCCTTTAGAAAGTATACACTTACTGTTTTGTTGTAGTTTCATTATTGTATTTGTCATGGTAAAAAGGAAGATGGCAGTGGCTTGCTTAGCTAAAATTTGTAGACTTCTTATTTTCGAATGTTACTGCTTCTTAATGGGGTGATTTTTATATTGACTGTATGCCTGTTTTATGTGAGGATGTCACATAGCTTTTGCTTGATAGCCCAGACATTGAACAAATACAGTTTGGAGCTGGGAGCTGGCATGAGATAGGCATTCATTCATTCATTCATTCATTCATTCATTCATTCATTTATATTTTTGAGATGAGTGTCTCTAGAAAGCCTCTATGAGATTTTCAGGTCCTATTTCTTTCCAAATTCTTTCCTTCTTTCCACCTGGCATCCCAAGCCACCTTATTTACCCTCTCCTTTCTCCTTTTTGAATTGCTGGTGGTTGGTTCCAGGAGGCCTTACTGTGTGTTGCTTAGAGGTGTTTGAGTTTACAGGTGGTGGTACTGGTTAGATGCTGTAACTAGAATTAGTGTGTAGAGGCCAGTGGTAAAGATGGAGACTGAGCCTGTCTCCAATTATTTCCTTTTCTTATTATGCTACAGTATTTAAAGTCCTCCCTCTTACTCAGTGTGAAGGTTTTAGGGCCACCTATAATTTAGTGGGCATAGTCCCTAACACTCCTCTCAATTACATTACCAGTGGAGTTCAAGGAGTTCCCCAAACTGTCCTCTGGTGTAATTTTCTAGAAGGACTCATAAAACTCACTAAAAGCTATTATAGTTACTGTTTATCACAGGGAAAAGATATACTTAAAGTTGGCCAAAGCATGGATGCATAGGGCAGATTCTGGGAGAGGTCCGAACATGGAATGCCTTGCTGTCCTCTTCAGGGAGTCACGGACAGCGTTACTTCCTCTTGGAGTGCTGTCCACCGGGAAAGCTGAGCTGCGGTGCTGACTTATAAGTGAGTTTGGTTGGTGGATTGTCCATGTTGTTGATTTTAGACTCTAGATCAGTGGTTCTTAACCTGTGGTTAAGTGGTTGTGACCCCTCTGGCAAACCTCTGTCTCTAAACATATTTACATCACAATTCATAACAGTAGAAAAATTACAGTTATGAAGCAGAAATGAAAATTGTATGGTTGGGTCACCACAATATGAGGGATTGTACTAAAGGGCCGTAGCATTGGGAAGGTTGAGAATCACTGCTCTACATCCTCTAACACCAACCGTACTACCCAAAGCTCCCATTCTAAACTACCCGGTCTAGCTTTCTTTTTTTTTTTCATTTCTTTTGTGTGTATGAGTGTGTGATGTATGCATATCTGTGCAGAAACACTCCTCCGTGTGTGGATGTGTGAAAGCCAGAGGGGAGGCATCTGCTCTCTTCCTTTATTACTATTTTATTTATGGGTCTGAGTGTTTCACCTGCTTGTCTATAAGTGGACTGCATCTGTGCAGAGCCCTAGAATGTCAGGAGAGGGGGTTGAATCTTTTGGAACTGAAGTTGCAGGTGCTGGGAAATAAACTCAGGTCCTCTGTAATGACAGTAAATGCTCTTAACCGCTGAGTGTTCTTCCAGCTCCTACACCTTTTCTTTGAGATACGGTTTCACTGCATCTGAAACCTCTGTTGTATAGTTAGACTGACTGGCCAGGAGGCTCCAAGCATCTGTCTTTCTCTGCCTTCCCAGGACCGTGTTACTGGAGCATGCTGCTGCATCAGGTTCTTTACACAGATGCTGGGGGTCCAAACTCAGATCCTCAGGCTTGATGTTGGTAGTGCAGCTGGCCCTCATACTGTGCAGTGTGACTGGCCCACTCTTCAGTTCTGATGTAGAGCTTGTTCCAAACAGACATTGTTATCAGGTAGGCTATAAATTACTGCTCAGAAATCAGACCTCTTTGGACAAGTTATTTTGTACACAAAATAACTAGATGTGGAGAGAAAGTATTGTGTTCTTGGACTGTCATGTGGTGTTGCTGTTAGGCTGTCATGTGATGTCCTCAGTACTTCTCTGAGTACATTGCAATTCACAGGTTTGATCTCGACGTATCTGCAGACCTTTCTGATGTCCTATTAATCATGTATGAGGAGCATGTGCTTAAGACACAAAGTGCTTTGATGGGCAGTGAATTTTAAGCAGGAGATAGAGTGGTAGGTTGCAAAGAACACCGAACCAGGAACCTCACGTTGAAGTTTTCCCAGCCTTTATTTACCATGTAACCTTGTGCAGGTCGCTTAGACTCTGAACTCTGTTTCCTTAAATCATTCCATGGGTATTAAGTCTTCTGGGCTTGTTAAGCTTGGGAATGCCAAGGCCATCAGGTGCTATGTTGATGCTTGCTGACTGGGCCATGTTTTCTTGTCATTTGGGCTTTAAAAGTTTCCTCTTCTGTGAGTTAGAAATTTTTCAGTTGCTCAAGAAAAATCTTTTCTTAGGCTTTCTGATTGGGCTTAAATTGTGTCTCCTCTGAAGTTCTTCTCCTGTGACATCTCTGGGAAGTGTGTTGTATCCTCTATGTACTTACGCATGTAAGATGCAGCATTTCATTTATCTGACATACATGTCTACAGACACATAAGTGCTTTCTCAACCAGAAGGTCATGTGTCCATCTCAGAGCTGGGATGGCCTCATGGGTATGTATAAAATTCTACAAGGAAAATGCTACAGTATTAATGGAGTAGTCATGGTATTTAATGTACTTAGGAATTCTTAATGACCAAGGAAGTTGTGAGATTCTTAATATTTATTAAAGTTGGACATGGCTTGCAAAAAAAGGTTTAGGGTGAGTGTCTCATGTACTAGGAATGTGTCTTAATTGTTTTTGTAACCCTAGCATTTATCACAGTGCTCCACACTTAATATATATCCAATTAATGTACATTGAATGAAAGGGAGAAGGGTTAGTTTTCCTAAGAAAATGTGGTAGTGTTCACAAATTCAGTTCTCATTCTCTTTTTCCTTTGAGGAGACATCCTTAAGTGGTTGATTAGATCAAAACTGAATGCATTTGAAAACTCTTCACGAAAGGACATGGAGCTTATGCACTTGTCACTGCCTGTGATTTGTGCTTTCTAATTCCCTCTGTGCTGCGTATCTGGGGCTTTGACTATTGCTTGACAGAGTTTGGAGGGAAGGGGCCAGTATTGTTCTGTTATTCAGTGCTCTCTTCCATTCTAGACTATTTGAAAAATAGAATTAATTCCCTGGGTCCAGATATCATTTAGTTCTGGCTAAATTGTCATCTACCACCTCTGTTTTATTTTTTAATTTTACAGCTTCATGCTGATGATATGACAGAATTCCCTATTTTCACCATGTTATATGTTGGGTCTTTTAGAACTATAAAATAAAATTTTAGGGTTTGGAATGTGACTCAGTGATAGAGTGATTGCCTAGTGTATATAAGGCCCAGCACAAAAAAAAATTAAATTTGTGCACTAATTGCATTTTAGGCTGTTTTCTCCCTGAGATTTATCCTGAATAGATTTCCTAGAGGAAGCTAATTTTATCAGTACTATGCAGATTCAACCCTGAGGTTCTCCTAGCTAAACCTTAGGGATTTTTTTTTAAGCCTTTTGGCCTCTGGTCTGTATCCACAGATTTGATTAAGAAGACTTTTGGAGCCAGACTCAGCTTTTATCTTTCTAGTAAAAGCAGTTTGTTCAGTATTCCTCTCCAGCCCTAACAGAATTAAAATTTCCCTTTACCTTTAAATGAGGGGGCTAATCATTTCTGTTTAGCTGTTCATAGTATTTTTTAGTGGTGGTGCATGGGATCTCGGTATTTCCTGGCAGTGTTGTCTTCGGAGTTATAGAAATATATTCAGTATATAAGAAATGCTATACTGATGGTTGTTTGTCTAGGTTACCTACTCAGTAGACATGAAAATAAACTTAACTCAGAAATTTTCAAAGGGGAATATCATGGATGTCAGTTTTATTTTTGGTAAATGTTACTATCTGAAAAGATGGGATTTCCGGGAGAAATGTTTACATTTGCTGTTTTTCTTCTCAGATAATGGCTCTGGATCTGGAGAAGGAGGTGAGTTTCAAATGCTTTGCTATTTTGAGACAGAATTTCATCTCCTCGCTTAGGCTGGCTTGGAACTAACTTTGTAGTGCACATTTCACCTTGAACTCACATGGGTCCTCATGTCTGAGCCTCTGAAGTGCTAACATTCCAGGCATGATCCTCCAAGCCCAGCTCAGATACTTCTTCAAGGTCTTTGTTTTCTTTTGATTTTTTTTTTTAACAACTCCAAGATGTAATTCATGCACCGTAGGGATCACTCATTTGAAGTTTGCAGCTCAAGGACCTTTTGTGTGTGCAGAGTTGTGGGCTCATTGCTACCAACCACCTTGCAGGAAGCCCTGGCACCTGACCACCATTCCTACCTTTACAGACAGTCTTGGTTCTTTACAGTTTTCACTGAAGGTTTCTTGTCAGACTAAAGGGAGCCCATCGTGGCTCCTGTTAAATCGAGGTTACACAAACTGACTTCTGCACAGGAATGTCCACACAAGTGGTTTTTATCATGAGACATAGTGTTCAAATCACTTTTTTTCTCTGCTTCCAATTCTTTTGTTAAACATAAGGAATTTTTTTAAAGAATAACAAGGTTAAAAATTCCAGAGTAAGTTGTGCCTTGATGAGGGAAAGCTCGTGAAACAACTCTGGTGGAATTAAGAATTAAATTTAAACCTTTAAAACTTCCTGTGTCTTAAAATTATTTCTGATTTTAAAATGTCTTATTTGTTAATAGTATTAAAGGACCAGAGCTGAGGATATGTCTTCGTCACAGTTTAATGAAGCTATCTGTTCTGTGCAAAGTAATATTAGAGGTACCCTGAGGATATGTTAAAAGAACACTTAATGGGAAAGTTTAGTCCAAATATAAACCACAGTTGTGATCGTAACCATATAAAACTTTGTGCCAGGCCACTCCTTCCTTTGTCTTCCTTAAGTTTCCGAGTTGGAAGGAACTTTGAAGGACTATAGAGAATAGAACATTTATGGGGAGGAATTCAAGGATGGGAGTTGTAGCCAGAAAGAAAGTGATAAAAGCGACTGAACAATAGGATTTGATTTAAATGGACGAGTTTAAGCAGGAGCTTTGTAATCATGTGTGAAAGCCAACTTCATGAATTTTAGATCTGAGAGCAACAAAGGATTTTAAGAGATCACATGACCTGGTCCCCATGGTCATTGTTTAGTTAGGAAACTCAGATGTTCCCATGATTTGCTAATATAATACAGTCCTGGCTGTCTTGATGAGAATGTAGGTTGTTCTCAGCCCTCAAGGGAGCATGTGTTGGAAAGGTTTGGTGGTTTGTTCAGCCATTCTGGATCTCACTATGGTTCTGAGGTCTCAAAGTTATTAACTATTATGGTCATTGCAATCTGGGTATTCATTTTCGTTTGAGGAGTGTTTGCAGTCAGAGAGCAGGCAGATGGTAAACACGGGAAGGTTAGGTGTTATCTGTGGACTTACATTTTGGTCACTGACTGGTGCCCTGGTATAGCTATGACATACCAAATCTTGCGAGGCTGAAATCCTTCCTCTCAGCTGACTTCGGCCCTCTTTCAGAGAGCTGCAAGGATCCACTCTAGTTGAGGTCCACACGTGCAGGATGCCCTTGTTTGGGGGATGTGAGCCTTTTGGAGGTAATGACGTGCTCCTTTTGTTGCTGGCAAATAGGAGACTCACAGATTTCTGAATCTGAGTGTTTGCACTAAGTGAGCCAAGTAGAGAAGGGGGAGGGGCTTTGTAAGAGCACCCCTTGTCCAGAATTGGAGACGGATATTTCTTTTAACTCTGGAGTTCGTTTTTATGTACCTAGAAAGTGGGGTGTGGAGCTGATGTGAGGAAAAGGTGATGATCATGTTCTAGTGTGGTCCAGCATGTCTGGACCTATCAGCTTCTACAGGCCTCTTGAGGGGGAAGTTATTTTACAAACAGCGCTGCCTTGCGGACTGTGTTATTTAGGAGTAGCAGCAGTTTTGGACTCCAACTTGGAGGACTTTTTGGAAGTGATTCTCTCCAGAAGCTTGGGTGCATTGTCTTTCAAAACAAGACAGTGACTTCTGAAAACTTGAAGCGTGTCTAGAAAGGATCCGTGCAACTTTTGAAAGTTTAACTTTTCTGTTTAAACAGAGGAGGAGGGCTCAGGAGCAGAGGCTCACAGGAAACATTCCAAATGTGGACCGTGCAAGTACAAAGCTGAGTGTGACGAGGATGCGGAGAACGTTGGGTGAGTTGTCGAGAAAGGAAGCTGCCGGAAGGGCTTTCTGTCCGGGTCTGGAGGTCCTGCGCGTGCGTTCTTGCATTTCAAACTGAATGCTAGTCTGATTTTTTTTTTAAAGATTTTATTTATTTATTATGTATACAACATTCTGCTTCAATGTATATCTGCGCACCAGATTTCATGACAGATGGTTGTGAGCCACCATGTGGTTGCTGGGAATGGAACTCGGGACCTCTGGAAGAACAGTCAGTGCTCCTAACCTCTGAGCCATCTCTCCAGCCCCTGTTTGACTTTTTTAAATTGATGTAATACAGTGACTGTTTAATTCATTTACAGGTTTTTGAGTTTTATCAGTGTTCTTTTAAAAAAATGTTTATATTGATTTATTCATCAAAAACTGTTGAATTGTCCCATTTCACTCTGTTAGTATTGGTAATGAACAGCTTCTGTTTGTTCTCTTGTATTTTTTTTTTTTTTAAATTTAACTTTATTTTATGTGCATTGGTGTGAAGGTGTCAGATTCCCTGGAACTGGAGTTACAGATAGATATTTGTAAGCTGCCATGTGAATGCTGGGAAATGAACCCGGGTCCTCTGGAAGATCATCCAGTGCTCCCAACCACTGAGCCATCTCTCCAGCCCATTCTCTTGTAGTTTTATGCAAAAACTTATCATCTATCTCAGTACATTGCAAAAAAATTCAGAAAATTTGCAAAAATTTAGCTGTATTAACTATTTTGTTTCATTGAAACTTACTCTGTATAGCTCATGTTGTTTTTCTTGTCCATGTTCAACCCTCACCACGGTGAGTTTAGTGGTTTGCAGACTCATCCAGCTTCCTGCCGGTTCCCTGTAAGGAGTGTTTGTTGGTAGACTAGTAGTAACACTGGTGTTTATCAGGGTCAAGTTTGGTTTCCCCTTTCATCAGTGTCATGTTTGCTTATTCACAGTCTCACTCTTCCCTTTTCCTATGGTGCTTAATTGGTGCATATTTGATTTTCAAAGCTCCGATGATGGCTTCAAGGCCTGACAGCTGGATGTTGTCTGCTTCCATTTCCTCTGTTTGCTCTAGTGTGTATTCAGAAATGCCCGTTTTTTACAGAGAGTTGTGCTTGATTCCTTGTGTACATATTTTTGGTTTTAGGTCCTATGTTTTATTCAGTGCTTAAATGTTTTTCATTGGAACATTGTATTAATTAGCATTAATGCCCAGAGTGAGCTTATAAGTCAAGACCATTCCATATTCAGTGTTTGTGGCATAATGTCAGCTGTTTGGTATTTGGTGAAATTAAATGCTTGGTAGTAGTTTACCTAGTGTGTATAAGATAAACAGATTTAGAAATCTTAATGTGTTGCTTTTGCACACTGTTTACAGGACTGGATTGTGTCTATGTTCATCATAGTGGTTTGATGTGGGAGAACCTTTTTTTTTTTTAATCCAAAGCAGACAGTGACCCACAGAACAGAGAGCAATGATATGTACTTACAGAATTTAGACACTGCACTGTCTTTCCAAATGTTACTATTGATAAGTCTTGATGAAACATCAGTGTGTGTGTGGGTGTGGGTGTGCACGCGCACATGTGTGTGTTCCTGTGTACTTGTGTGTATGTGTGCTTGTGTGTGTGTGTAATTATTCTTTTCAGTAATTTTCTTTAGGACAGTTTTATAATAGTGTTCATAGACTACATAGCTGCCCATGATTGATTGGCTGAATATATTGGTCTGTTTTTATTCCTTTAACAATACCTCTATTCAGCCCCATTTTACACATTTCTCAGCTGTCATTTTTTCATGCTTAAACAGAAAGAGATAGAAGATTTGAAACTGGAACAGATTCCATTTAGTTTCAAAAGAGACTCCAAATAAGACATCTAAATACCCACCTTTATGTGACTGCCTCCCCAAAGATGCAGCACATTCCCCATATGAGAAAATTAATTTTGTGTGTGCATTTTTGTCTGCAAGTTTTGCAGCCACTGTTTTTGCAGAAACCAGCTCTCAGCAGAGGGAAGTGGGCACCAACCAGAGAAGGGCTTACCAGCAGGCAGAGGAACACATGGACTGAGATGAATAGCCAAGGCCAGGCAAGGAAATGATGGGACAGTAGGAAAACACTCAGGAAATGATTGACACCTTTGTCCAGAAAATGAGTGGTGAAGCTAAAGTACTTACTTGGTGCAACAAAAGAAAATTTTATTTATAGGCTAATCTTTTATCTATAAAATAATAGCAATGTTGTTGAATTTTCCTAATTTACTTTTAAATGGGCTTTGATTCCAAGAAAGCTATCTGTGGAGGTTTTTTTTTTCCTTTCTTTTCTTTTTTTTCTTTTTTTTTTTTTTAGCTCCTTCAAGGCATAGAACTTCTGGTACAGAAAACTGACATTCAGAAATGTGACAGTTGCTAATAGCTTTGTGTTTTACACAATATTTTCTTTTGAATTATGTGTATATGGGAATGTCTGTGTGTTGGTGTGGGAGCAGACTCCTGTAAAAGCCATCTACTCTCCCTCTGTTATCTACCATTGGTAAGTAAGATTGCTTGCTCTGCAAGCACAAGGACATGAGTTTGAAACCCTAGCACACATGTAAAACATCTGCATGTGTCTGTGACCTCAGCATGGTGAATGGAGATAAAGCAGATCTTAGGAGCTCACTGGCTAGCAGAAACAATGAGCTTCAGGCTCAGTGAGAAACTCCAACTCAGGGAAATAAAGTAGAGATTGATGGATAAAAATACCCTCAGATATGGTGGCACCTGCCTTTGGTCCCAGCACCCAGGAGGCAGAGCCAGTCAGATCTCTGTGAATTTGAGGCTGGCCTGGGGAAATATTCATAACAGCCATTGTCTGTTGACTGTTTTGCAGGCAGGGTCTCATTAAGTTGTCCAGATTGGCCTCAGACTCATGATCTTTCTGACTTAAGCTGGCTTCAGCTGTGAACTAACGCTATCTGAAGAGGAAGCAAGTTCCTATAGTGACTTTCCAAATCTGTTGTTATACAGCCCCATTTGGCTTTAGACATTCTGTCTTTACCCCTGCCTCTGCCTCCAGAATCCTGGGATTTATGTGTCTTTATGTTTGTGGCAGCTTTCAGATTTTTTCTTTTTTAATAAAACTGCACTCATTTTTAAGAAGTTCACCTGAGCTGGGAGGGATGGCTCATGGCTAAGAGCACTTGCTCTTGTAGAGGGACCTGGGTTTTATTCCCAGTACCCATGTGGTGGCTTATATATGTAACTCTAGGTCCAGGGAATCCAATGTCTTCTTCTTATCTCTATTGACAATAGGCACACATGTGGTGAACATACACACAGGCAGGCAAAACACTCATACACATAAAATAAAATCTAAAAGTAAAAAGAAATACACTGGCATTGTTAACCAACACGCTTCTTACATGTTGGCATTGTACTTAAAACATATTGAATAGGATTCTGTGGAATGATGTTTACTTTTATTAAATGTAATGCATTTAAAATATTTCTAATGTTTTCAAATAAAATGGTGGTTTGAATCAGAATGGCCACCATAGGTTTATATTTTTGAATGCTTCATTCCCAGTTAGTGGAACTATTTGGGAAGGATTAGGAAGTGGGGCCTTGTTGGAGGATGTGTGTTATTGGGACCAGGATATGAGGTTTCAAAAAGCCCATGATATTCCTCACACTTGTGTCTAAAGATGTAAACTCTTCAGCTACTGCTCCAGCCCCATGCTGCCTGTATACTGACATGCTCCCACCTCGATGGTCCTGGACTCTAACCCTCTGGAACTGTAAGCCCTAAATTAAACTCTTTTCTTTTGTAAGTTGCCTTGGTCATGATGTCTTAGCACAGCAATAGAAAAAGAACTGAGATAGTGGTTGAACCATATAGGGGACAAACATCTGGGCACATCTGTGAAGGAGTTTTCTAGACTGACCTACCCTAAATGTGGTGACACCATTCTCTGGGCTGGATAAATTGGATAAAGCTGACAGCATTCATCTCTCCCTGCTTCTTGACTTAGAATGCAATGTGACCAACCAGCTGCCTCAGGCTCCTGCCACCACAAGTCTCCCACCATGATGGTCTGCTCCTTAACTGTGAGCCAAATAAATCCTCTGTGTTAGTTACTGCTCATTGCAGTCAAAAGACACCATGACAAAGGCAATTTATAAACTAAAGCATTTAATTGTTACAGTTAATGACCATCTTGGGGGAGAACTTGGCATCTTACAGTTCATGACCATCATGGGGGAGAACTTGGCATCAGGCAGTTGGGTAAGACCCTGATGAGCAGTAGCTGAGGCTTACATCCTGATCCGAAGGCAGGAGGCACACAGAGTGGGTGTTGGGGACCGGGCCTGCCTTTCAAAGCCCACCCCCTCCAACAAAGGCCACACCTCCTAATTCTTCCTAAATAATCCACCAGTTGGGAACCAAACATTCAAATATATGAGCCTATAGAAGCCATTTTCATTCAAACGACCACACCCTCCTTGTTTAAGTTGTTTTTTGTCAGGCATTTTCCATAGCAGTGAGCAAAGTAACTGATACTATAGTGGTTCACAAATTGACTTTATAATCCACTGCTTCTGTGACATGTGGTTTGAAAGATAATGTTCTCAAACATAACTATCATAGTTATATATCTTGCATAGTTTTAGATATGGTTCTCCATTAAAATGTTTTATCTTTTCTCACTTAATATCGTTCCTGTCAGAAGAAATGCAGCATGATCTATCTGGTTTCTTACACTTAATGTTCTTTCTGTTGTTAATCGATACACACACACAAAGAAACCAAGACTTTGGAAGAAGGAATAGTGGTATCATGGAAATTAATTTTCTGTTATTAAGAGAAAGTTGTATTTTATTTTTATTTATGTATGTGTGTGTGTCTGTGCATGTATGTATGGATGCCTTCTGAGGACCCAGGAGGATACTGGATCTTGCCTAATGTGGGTGGGTGGTCTGGTCCTCTGGTCCCTTGACAGAACAACAAACACTCTTAACCACAGAGTC